TTAAACGATACTGGACTGCACACACTTCCATAAGCACAGTTCATGTTCTCCCATTGTGCAATTAAAGTACAGTATGTGCAATAACCTTATACTTATTTATCACCCTAAATCCTAGTACATCCCTGCAACTTTATTTTATTTGATTCTATTCCTATTCTATCTATAGCACACCTGTACATACACATTTTTTTTTGTGGTTTATATTTATGCATGTGTATTTTATTCACATCTCATTTGTATTATCTGTGTGTTGTTGTTGTCTCCGTGTACTGGAAGCCTGTGACGCTATAACAAATTCCTTGTATGTGCAAACATACTTGGTAATAAAGCTTCTTCTGATTCTGATCCTTGTGGAGTACCATTATCTATTTTATATATCCTGGAATATGAAGTTTAATCCAGTTAAACATTCTGCCTTCAATTCCTAATTGTTCAAACTTTGAAATAAACAACTTCTGTGCGGAAGTCCAATAAGATATTGCCGAGATGCGCGTGTATGTGACGTTACGCGAGCATGGCGGCACACTGAGATGAGGTAGACACCTTATTCTTTCATATAATGAATTTGTTAATTATCTTGGGACAAATGTATCTTCTAAAGAATATTTAAAACTCATTCATTGTATCTCCCCGAAACTACTCTATCTTATAAAAAAACGAAAAGATGTATAATCCTGTAATTGGTTCTCTTCCTAATCTGACTGTTGGGGGCCTTTCCATTAGGGATGAAAATAATTTAATAATATGTATATCAGAAGAATATTAACCAAAGAAAAAAGTGCTTCACCTAAGGCAATGGTGAAGTGGAAACAGGATTATCACTTCCTTGTTTTTAAGAATATGTGGTCAGATATAAATAAAAATGTAATTCCTAATAAAGTCAAAGAAACTCACTTTAAAATAATAAACAGATACTATCAATGTAACGATTTTATTAGTAAGTTTAAAGAAGGGTTTTCGCCATTATGCAGTTTTTGTAAAGAAGAAACTGAAACAATTGTACACTTATTTTTCAGTTGTAATTTTACCAAATTATGTTTTTTAATTTTTAAACTTTGTTTCTTTTTGAGTTATTTTACAAGTTTGTCACTATAACTGATGTAATGGTCTTGTTTATGGATTGTGATACTGGTTTATTGGAAATGGATAATATAATTCAACTTCTTATTCTATTAGGGAAATATCATATACATAAAGCAAAATGTTTATCGACTGTACCAAATAGTAGACTATTTTCCACTGATCTGAAGATTTTTTACGACTCTCTAACTTCAATACAGAACAATCGAAAAGCTGTAAAGACATCTAGGCTGCTGAAAAGGATACTTGATGTATTAGAAACATGATTGATATGTGATCTAAGATGCAGAATTTTGGTTTTATTGTTTTACAGATTTAAATGTCTTTGTATTCCCCTATTGTTATCTCAATTTTTTTTAAAAAACGTATTCTTTCAGTCTAAAAGACATTCTTTTTTTTATTATATTGATGATAAAAATAGACCCCTAAAGTACATTGCTAACTTCTTTATTTTATATGGCAAATTCTTTATTCATAAACAGAAGTTTGCAAATAATATTCCATCCTATCCCCATTTTAAAACTGAATTAATATCACTTCTTAAATCTCTTAGTTATAGAAATAACAAAAAATCCCTAAGATTTATAAAATATTATGAAGAAATACATGTATTTAAAAGCTTTCCCTGAATATTAATGTTTGTATGTTATTGTATCAATAGTAGTAATGTATGCATTCTTGTGTCTCCTTGTCTTGTCATCTTTTGTTTTTCATTGTTTTTTGTATAATCCTTGTTTGTTTTTTCTCTCTTTGTTTTATTATATGTATTTGTATGTAATTCCTTGACAATGTTCTTATGTTATTGAGCATTAATAATAATAAAAAATGATTAAAAATAAATAAAAAAAGAGATGAGGTAGACATGATAAAAAAAGAGATGTAAACATGATAAACATTCACTTTTTAAAAAATAAAACATGTCAAACACTACATAACAAAATTTGCAGCAAAGATTTGCGGAATCAAATGTGAAGGACGCTAAATGACCCTCTCACACACGCAAATCAAAGTAATAATAATAAACATTTCTGATCCAAGGCAACATTTTGTTTTACTTTCAAGTACTAAAACTGTTGACATATTTTTAAAAACAATGCAAATCACAAAATCAAAATGACTAAAACTGTTAACTAAAATTAAAATGAAAACACAATTTAAATAAAACCTAATTGAAAATACGAATAGCATAACAAATAAAATATTTTCATGATTTGCTTTGGTTTATTTAGTATATTGAAAATATAATAAAATAACTTGTTACAAACCCTTTTAAGTCTAGGGGAAGTAAGGGGTGCAACATCAAAACACGGGACGTGTACTGGAAAACGATCAGACGCAAATCATTCTGAATTCGGCAACGTGTCTATTTATTACAGTGACCAAAGTTAGCCCAAGATATTCTTTACATGAATTTACAATTTATATACATTTTTATAACCAAGCAAACAGGGTCACAAAAACAAAACAGGGGAGAAGAGAAAAGAACGAGACCGTGCCAAATCAAAAAAAAAAAGAACAAAATATAACTAATCTTCCTAAGGACAGAAACAAAAACTTCGAATCTAACTCAACCAACTAAATACAATCAGGTGGCACGTGTCACTAACCTAGTGTTCTATACACAATTGAAAACTCAGTGTGGCACATGTATATCACGTGATATCTTACCTGTTCTTTTTCTCTTTCCCCGTTTAACACTGGTTTAACAACCATGTAACAAAACAACGGCGAAAACCTCAAAGAGAAAAAAGATCGAATGGGCCAACTTTCACCAAGTTATCAAAGAACACAGACTTTACCACAAACCGTGTCCAAATCAAAGAAAAGAACACTAAGATGGTACAGGACAAACAAACAAGCACGCAGGTGCCATCACAACAACACGAGTGCGAGAGCACTCCCGCTTCTCGCACAGGTGCAGATTTTATAATCAAATAACGCGCCCTCATTGGGTGAAGCCGCGCGATCGTCGTCATTAAGCATCTTGATGATTGACAGAATTAGACCACTCAGGTACCCGCGTCTCCCTGCTGAAAACAAATAAAAACAAAGCTGGAAAAAAAATAAGGGGAGGGAAAAAAAACAAACACCTCACCAATAATACATCAATTTTAACATGGGACGTAACATAACTTTAAAAGTATAGTCTTTTAAATATCAAGCTTAATACTAACAGTAAAAAAAATAAATAAATAAAGTTCATATGGCATAATATTTAAGGAAGGATATTTACCAACGCTAGTGTTGACTTCACTGTCTGTTACATGGCGCACCACTGTGGACAAAGTACTTTTTAGTTTCCAAATAACACGTTTTAAAGTTACAATTTTAGAAAAAAAGAATGAAAATACGTGAAAAGGTTACCAGGAGGAGCAAAGAAGGGCCAAATCCATGCGGAAGATCGGACAGGACGAGTGCTGTCTGCTGGAGCACCACCTAATGGGTGAGTACCAAAACAACTATTTACCTGCAGTTTCCTTAAAACTGTTGCTTAAAATGTTTATACTTCACAATAACGCATTACTGTGAATGCCTGTTTATTTTTTAAGACAGCATTTAATATGCTCCTGAAATTAAATGTGATTGTGTAATACAAGTGATTTTAAAAAGGTTTCTGAATGTGTGTATGCTTTCACATTTATAATTTAACTTTTGTATATCAGTGTCATTTATTTTACATCATACTTTGTTTTCTCTCCTTCTTGTACATTTTTACGGTCTTATGGTTTCATTCTCAGCAACTTTATTACTTTATACACCAGTGTGACATGAAGAACCAAAACCATGTCTTGAGTATCTTTTCAATTTTACAATCTGGGAGGATTAGGATGAACATGCAGCCGCAATAATATTTTTTATGTTGTTTATTTTGTTAGTTTTATTCAGTAACAGCATTAAGTGAGTGTTGTCTGTTCAGCTAAAAAAAACAGCAAATCGGAAATTATTCAAGCTGAAGCTTCTCTAATGCAAAAAGAATAATCAGATATCAATAAGGTAAAAAACAAAAAACAAACAAACAAAAAAACAATGAAAATATCGAACAGAGTTTACAAGTTCACATTTGATCAGAGAGACAGTTGGGCAGAAAATTCAAAAATACAGATGGATAAAATATAAATGCAATTATGTAGTATAGCATAAAAACAAAGCACAGTTTGCCAGCAAATAGAAAAGCAAATAATACTAAATGAATAATATTTTAAAAAGAATATGGGTTTTCACAACTGGTTACAGACACAGATGGGCAAATTCACTTCAGATTACACAAAATATAAAATATCAGTGGAATTATATGGTATAGCATAAAAAAGTCAGTTTATAATATAAGCAAATAGAAAAGCAAAAAAATACTTTCAGTAATAGAAATGTGCAGATAATTCCTGCAATAAAATCTTCACATAAATGTTTTGAAACAGTGATTAACAGTCAATGTTTAACTGGATGCTTTTATAATTAAACAAAAACTGATATTTAGATTTGATTTACATTCAAGGGTTGATCTATAGATCAGTGTGAGATGTAAACTGTTCCTTTATCTTCATAATAAATGAAATGCATGTCTTAAGTCGCTGGGGTATATTTGTAGCAGTAGCCAAAAATACATTGTATGGGTCAAAATTATAGATTTTTCTTTTATGCCAAAAATCATTAGGATATTAAGTAATGATCATGTTCCATGAAAATATTTTATAAATTTCCTACTGTGAATATATCAAAACTTAATTTTTGATTAGTAATATGCATTGCTAAGAACTTAATTTGGACATCTTTAAAGACGATTTTCTCAATATTTAGATTTTTTTGCACCCTCAGATTCCAGATTTTCAAATAGTTGTATCTCAGCCAAATATTGTCATATCCTAACAAAGCTTATTTATTCAGATTTCAGAAGATGTATAAATCTCAAATGGACCCTTATGACTGGTTTTGTGATCCAGGGTCACATATATTAATGTTCTATATTTGTACTTGTATGAAAGCTCTTTTACTTTTGTTTAACGGCCAATCTCAACAACAAACAGGATTGGTTTCAAACACATCTAGAGCTCTTTTATATGGGTGACTTAAGTAGAAATGTTATTTTGATGATTTAATTTGAATGCTGATAATGTTACAGTCAGAAGTTGGAAACATCTACACCCATCAGAGGTAGCTCCTCTGCCCTATTTCTTCTTGATGCAGTGTTACCTGAAAGAAAACACATGACAGATGACATTAAGATGGCTCTTGTATGCCCTTGTGAAAACTAAGTGTACTTTTTGTGTACTTCAAATCTTAAAAGTATACTTTTTCAAAAGTGCACTTGCAGATAATATAATATACTTTTAATTAAAGGCCACTTAAGTGCACTTAAAGAGAGTACACTTTAATGACAATAGGTCTTAAAACATACTTAAGTGCACTTTTAAAAAAATGCACTTTATGATAATGTCCAAATTAAGTATTACTTAAACATACATTTTACATAATTATGATTTTATTGTTTTAAATAAGTACACTTATTTTGACATATTTATCAATATACTAAATCACATGTAAAACAATTGATTTTTATTTCAACTTAAGCGTGTTCTCCAAAATTACATTTGTTAATGTATTTTAAATGTATTTAGTCTATAATATATACTATGTGCATTTATGCACTTGAAATTAATTTTTCTTCTAAACTTCAATACACTTTCTTATACAGTATACTCCAATAAAACTTGTTGAAATTTCCATCACCAGCTCTTGCGCTATGAACTCTATGAAGTTTAATTTTCTATATAATATTTGACATACAGTGTCATTTATGAGAGTACTGTATTTGTATGTAATTACTGTACTTTACATCTGTGTACAGAATACTTTTAATATCATGTTGTTCTAAGTCACTTAAACACACATTTAAGTGCAGTAATTGCAAGCAAACGTTTAACAAATCAAAACAAAATAAATTTGCATTCAAATACACTGTTCCCCTTTCGGGCTTGAACTGACGGTAAAACTAATGACATTATTTACTGTCTTTACATTTATTTTGAAAGATGAAGCTCGCGATTATGGTAAGGGGCGTTACATTTCCGACGAGTGCTTGCGGTGTTCGGCCAATCACAATGCACTGGGCCAGCTGGCCAATCAGAGCAGACTGCGCTTGTCGGAAGGAGGGACTTTGTAGAAAACAAAGCGTTTGAGAGAGACCTACAATAATGTACAGTATTTGAAAAATAATGTGTTTTTGAACATTAAAGCATGTCAACATATTCTGTTACACCAAATACACAAAATAATGATCTTTAAAAAAGCATCATTTGACCCCTTTAATTAGACTAGGTTACACTGCACTGTAAAAAATGACTGACTTTTAGTTAGGTGAATGAGTCATGAATGAGTCTATATAGTCTTTGGTCTAACTACACAATGAATTAGAAAAACTTGAACTTGAACAGAAATGGAAAGCTTGAAATAACAAGTAACCATGCAAAAGTATCCCTTTTGTTTAATGCGCATGCGCCAAAAATACTACATCATGATGGTGCGCTTCTTCAGCAGAGTTTGAAAAATGCACTGTGCGCCATGTTTGTGTAATCGCAATGCGTGAGGGTGACAGAACTTTGCTGAAACAAGAAGAGAACAAAGGAACGCCACGTTTGGATGATTACAGATGTGACTTTATGTACTGCAAATAATGAATCAAGTAAGTATATCTTGATATAAGCTTTCTTTATTCTTAATTTACTCTTGCCATTTGTGCGGCTTTCACTGTAACGAGGCAGTTCTTGCTATATGGACTCGGGAGATGAATTAATCATGTCCTGTAATTTATCTATGACTGCATTCTGATATTGGAATGTGATCGCATGTGTGGACCAAGAAATTTGGCTGCTGAAAATACAATGTTTTTTTTTTTTAACTAAACAATTTTAAATTCATTTTAACGCTACTGAACAAAATTCAAAGATCCTATCTTGAAATATTTAATTAATGTAACTTTATATAATTGATATTATAACCACCAGTAATATTCAATATATCAGCCACCTCTAGAAATAATGTTTTTTTTGTTTGTTTTTTTGTCTTTTTGCATCAGGAACATCCTTCATGAAGATGTGCGAGAGAAGCTTGCAAGGCAAGATGAGAAGGGAAAAATGAAGGTACCTTTCTTAATTTTCATGGATTTAGGGATATTTATCTATATTTGGGTAATTGATAAAGTTATGTTTTATTCCCTTTAAAGTAGGAATGAAAAATGTTTGTAAAAATGTTATCTATTTTTAAAGCCCAGTGTCAGTGAAGATGGTGTGGTCAGGAATTCTGGTGTTTGTAGGAAATCTGAAGGAGCATCTCCCAGCGTTCTACTACGATGTTGTCCTGATGATTGAGGTAATTAATCTCTTAGGTGATGCAGATGTGGTCAAAAGTTTACATACACCTTGCAGAATAAACTGCTTCATCAGAGCAGAAATTGCTATTTTGTTTATGATTCTACCCCTCTACCCTCTTACTGCTTAAATTATTAACATTACAGATACTGCAAGGTGTATATAAACTTTGGACTGCAGCTGTGTCTATTGCTTTCACTCAACTGAACCATTTATAATGACTCGCTCTGTTTAATAACAATTGTTCTTCTGATTTTTTTTCTTCTTTCTTTCCACAAGGAATTTATTTATTTTTTTGTGACTTTCCTGCCTCTTTGGAACATTTCCGTTCACACAGACTGTGGAGAGATGGTGTGCAGCTTCATGACATTTGAAGTTTACTGCTGATGGAGAGCTTCTGGGACACTGACAGACCGCACTTCCCAGCAAGTTTATTTGGAGTTCTTTTTAAAAAAAAAAAAATTTTTTTAAATGAATTTATTTAGTCAAACTTGCATTCACTAATACTGGAGTAAGATTTTAGAAGAAAACTTTCGGCCCTGTTTAATGCTGGTACTAGTAAAGGTTTGAAAACTAATGGCCTGGTTTCACAGATAGGGCTTAGCCTAAGCCAGGATCATAGTTCAATAAGGACATTTAAGTAATTTTCATTAACATGCCTTAGAAAAAACATTACTGGTGTGCATCTTGAGACAAAACAAAGGAACTGATATTTTGAAAGATCAGTCAGTGCAATTTTCTTTCAGTTCAAACAGCTCAGAATTACATTTTAGTCTGGGGCTGTTCTTAAGCCTTGTCTGTGAAACCGGGGGTACAAGTAACACAGTTTGGTAATGTTTTACAATAAGGTCTCATTTGTTGTACATGGAATGATAATTTTCTTGATTTGTAAAATTTTTTATTAAGTGTGTGTGTGTTAGTAATCCTATAAGTTATGGGGACCAAATGACTCCACAAGGATAGTAATACCAGTAAATGTAGACCTTGTGGACATTTTGAGGTCCCCAATGAGGAAACAGGCTTATAGATCATACAGAATGATGTTTTCTATGATGGCGAGATCAGGTACTTTTGTATGTAAGTATGTAAGTGATTTTGCATTGTTCTCCAGACTCTAATAAGTGAGTTAAAGTGTTGTAACTGTGTATAGTGTTGGGTTTTTCTTGTGCAACAGCAGAAAGCGTTTTTGTGTATTTGTTTTAGAGATTGTTTTGTCAATAAATGTAGAGGGTTTTCCATTTTGTGTTTGTGTTGATTGTAACTACGTAATTACATATTTAATACTGTATTTATTTTAATATTTTAATATAATTTTTTAAAAATACAATTTTAAATATATCTCTGACAATGAAGTTGAAATTTAGTATAAGACATTTAAGTACATTGAAATGACATTGAAGTGTATTTTAGTTCACATTAATTGCTTATTCAGAAGTACATATTTACCATATTTCAAAGTACATATAAAATATACTAAAGCCCCACTTAAGTGGTTCAAAAATATCACTCAAAAGTAAACTAATTGCAAATAATATCATTTTAAATTGTAATATATTTGAAATCAATTATAAATAATATGCATGTAGGTGGTCGAAAACATTACATTTAATGCACACTTAAGTGTATTGTTAACTGATATTAAATAATATTTTAGCTAACATTAATTGCTTCTCAGTACATTAGTAGTACACTTTAACCATATTTCAAAGACACTAGGAGCAATTATGAAAGTACATATAAAGATGTACTAAAGTCCCACTTACAGTGGGGCAAAAAAGTATTTAGTCAGCCACCAATTGTGCAAGTTCTCCCACTTAAAAAGATGAGAGAGGCCTGTAATTTTCATCATAGGTATACCTCAACTATGAGAAACAAAATGAGAAAAAAAAAATCCAGAAAATCACATTGTAGGTATTATTATCAGAGGACACGTGAGCATAACGGTTAGCAGATCAATGAATGAGAGGGCAGCGTTACCAGAGTTGCCCATTTACCACACCTTGTTACAACACAGTAGGGCTATTCCAAACAGAAACAATACTGTACTACATCGATGTTTCCTGTCAGCTTGATTTTTGAGTGGACTTTGCTGTTCCGATGAGCATGAACGGTATATGAGTGGAGCACTCACATGGGCCGTGACTGAGCGGAGCACACACGCATAGAGCGGGATGATATACACACACATAGAGCGGAATAATACGCTAATAATAATTTTCGGCAGCCGGAATTTCAGTGCATCTCTAATTATTGCCAACATTAGAAATGGATATTATATAATAGCTGCTTTTTTGAACATTTTAGCAATTTAAAAATATTAAAAAATATTTTTTTTACACGGCACCCCTGCTCTCGACAGACGCGGCACCCCAGGGGGAAACACTGTTCTAAATAATGCCGCGAGTGGGGCTTGCGGAAGTGACGTCGTCTGCGTCTGCGCAGTGTGACCTGATGCAGCCCCTGAAGTGAGACACAGGAAACAGAAATACTGCAAAATAATAATAATAACATGACTAAACGAGACGAAATAACGTTATAACATTTCGTTTCGTTTTGTTTTGGTCAACGAAAATGAAGAGACATTTTAGCATAGTTTTTATTTTGTAAACCACATTTAGTCTCGTTTTTATTCGTCAACGATATTGCATTATACATTTAATTATAGTAATCGTCACATGACCAGCATTTACGTTGCGTCTCGTTTCGTTTTCGTCATGTGATTCGTTGAGGTTCGTTGACGACGATATTTAGTCATAATTTTTGTTGACGAAAGCAACACTAGTCCCGGCGCTACGAGACAAAACCAATAGAACCCATTATAAATTAGACATTTGTTGCATCCAGTGGGGACATAATTACGGATTATAATTACTTATACTGTCTTTTTACACGTTGCATTGCATCGCGCCGTGTAAACATAAAACCATGTCTGCATTTGTGATCAGAGAAATGTACAGCTAGAATAAAAGTTACGCCTTTTTTCTTTGCGTGAACATTTGGGCGGTGTTATGCAAATCTTCTCACATCATGACGTAGGTATGTGGGGGTGTGTAAGAAAGAGACGTTTTAGGTAGGCGTGGTTGACTCTTAACTTTTATAAAGAATATCTTTTTGGATTTGAGACTTTAGTCTTTGAAACTTTACAGATCTTCTTTATGCACCAAGAGCTTGCAACACTCCAAAGAGAAAGGAAAAATTGAAATCGCATCATATGGCCCCTTTAATATAACTTTAAAATGTGATACATTTGAAATTAATTACAAATACAATGTACTAAAGCGGCGAAAATAGTACTTTTAGTAAATTTAGTAAATAGTAAATTTGCTCTTGCATGTGTTCTTTTTAAGTATATTATATCTGCAATTAGTACACTTTATAAAAGTATACTTAAGTGCACTTCTTTTTCACAAGGGTGTATAGTAACAAAAACAAGTCATTACCAAGGGTAACTATTTAAAATCACAGGATTAATCTGCTGGTCACATTAAACCCACAGATATACCTTAATAAGATCTGATTTACTGAATAAGATTTACTTACCAGAGACAGTTATACTGAATATCTTGGATGTGACTGTTCCTGATCCTATGATCAGTAGTTTATATAGTCCAGAGTCTTTGGTACTGGTGTTTGTGATATTCACAGATCTAGTCTTCTTGTTCATCTCCAGTCTGCCTTTGAATCTATCATCAGGAACATCATCATATGTAGAGAACTCTTCTGTCCCTCCTTTGATTTGACCTATACAAATCTCTTGTTCTCCAAACAGCAATAACATCTGATCATCTTTCTGTATTTCAGCTTTAGTCTGTAGAATGACAGGATCTCCTTCTGTCACTGATTTGGCCTCCACTTCACGTCACAGCAGCACATAGAAACAGAAAAACACAGACCAGACATTAAATCAACATGAAGAAAGCTAACAACAGCAGAAGGGAACAAAATCTGCACTGATCATTTGCTCCATATCTGCTCTGTGATTGATCATCAAACCCTCTACACTGAACCACGTTCACTCTCACACTATGAGAGAATCTGATACTTCAAAAAAGTTTATAATCTTTGACATTACGTCCTGGTGTTCTGCTATATGCCATCTTTATTCACAGGTGCAAATGTGTTCTGGTTTGCTCGCCTCTACATGATTGGCACATCAGTCATTAAAAAAAAAAAACCTAAACGACACAGACACTGCATCCAAAATCGAATACTGAGCAGGTACTACATTTGAATTTACTTTGCAAACATTAAAAAAAGTATGTTTTTTATAGTATGAATATGGGTAGTATAAATGTAATCTGGACATACTACATTCTCCATGTTGTCATTGTCACATGACCTTCCAGCATCAGTTGTGTTGCTTCACTGCCATTCATAATCTTCTCCCGTGGCCTCATGGGATAGTAAAGTGTCCATCATATGCAAACTTCAGAATCACTCCAGAAGTAGTAGGTCATCCAGGTACTTTTTGCCTACTGTTTTTTGAATACTATGAATTCAGACATACTACTCTTTTGGCATACTTTTTTTTTGCATCGTGTATAGTAGGGGAGTTTTTTGATTTCGGATGCAGTGAGAGACTCTTCCATTATACACAAACAATCATTCAAAGACATTTTTTTTGTGTGTTATTACTATTTTAATCACTGTATGCAATGCGCTCGAAGAAATAGGTAAATACAAATTATTAATTTTTAAGATGCTGTCAAATGCTAATTTAAATTTTTCTAATTCAAAGTACAAATTTGATTAACTGTTAACTCTTCAGGAACTTTTCACTGAATCAATATTGTTAAGGTTTATATATTTTGATCTGATGTTTTTGACTTTTGACTATTTTTATGTAAATATAATAGGTTCGATTTAAACTCATGTGAGTTTGAGTTTTTATTGCATAAATCTTTTGTTCTGTTGAATCCAAAAAATAACCAAACAAAAAACATATTTGGCTCAAATTGTGTAACTATAACACATTGGTGTGTTTACATGAATTTTCCATTATATAACTTGTAACTTTACATATGACTTTGGTTTAATGGCTGGGATGCCTTGCTGAAAAATACATCATAAACCAGATTGAGGTTGCTGGTTTGAGCTGTACTTTCAGTCTCAATAGCTGAAAAGTGCTTAGAATCGGTGCAAAATCAGCTAAAAGACCAGTCTGGGAGACCAACTAAGACCATATTTTTTGATTGAGCACTTATATAATAGTCATAAAGTACACATACAAACTCACAGTCATACCTGAATAAGATCATTATTATACTGAAATATTTGAGTTACTCACCAGAGACAGTAACGCTGAATTTCTTGGATTTCTTGGAGACTTTTCCTGATCTTATGATCAGTAGTTGATAAAGTCCAGAGTCTGTGGTTCTGGTGTCTTTGATGGTCAGAGATCCAGTCTGATGATCTAGCTTTAGTCTGTTTATGAACCTCCCATTAGCACCATCATATGTAGAGATCTCTCTTGTCCATCCTTTGATTTCAGCTATGGGAGACTTTTCATCTCTAAACATCCAGCGTATCACATCTTCTGTCTGTATTTCAGTAACATCAGTGAGTAGACATACAGAACATTCCTCTGTCACTGTTATGGCCTCCACTTCATGTCACAGCAGCACATAAAAACAGAGAAATACAGACCAGACATAAGATCAACACAGAGGTAACTGTTTTGCCACCAGTAATTCTCAAGTCTTTGCATTCAAGTCCTCAACTTTAAGCTTTTATTCTTCTTTTCTTTGCCCAAATTAGTGTCTCAGTATTAAAAAGTGACGTGACATGTGGCCAAGTATGGTTACCCATACTAGGAATTAATGCTCTGCATTTAACCCATACATGTGTGTGCACCCATCCTTAGTGCGCACACACATACAGAGCAGTGAACACACACACACCGTGAACACACACCCGGAGCAGTGGGCAGCCATTTTTGCTGCGGCGCCCGGGGAGCAGTTGGGGGTTCAGTGCCTTGCTCAAGGGCACCTCAGTCGTGGTATTGAAGGTAGGAGAGAGCGCTGTACATTCACTCCCCCCACCTACAACCCCTGCTGGTACGAGACTCAAACCTGCAACCTTTGGGTTACAAGTCCGACTCTCTAACCATTAGGCCACGACTTCCCACATTATAAATACTATAATATATGTGTACTAATTTATATCAGGAAGGGTTTTAAAATATATATTTATGACTAACCAGTTAATTTTCATGTACCATATATGTTTTGTAAATACCGTAAAAGTTCAATCCCAATTAAGCTTTCACTCAATGGCTTTCTGTAGGCCTATAAACCAGTATGTGGCAAGAAATGAAACAACTTCACTTTATGGGAATTTAACATTTTACTATAATATTTAATTCAGATAGGTTAGTCATTAATAATCTATTGTAAGTATAATTATAAGGATATAATCAGGGGTGCACATACGTTTTTCAGCCTGGAACCTGGAGATTTGGTTTGGTCCTCACACTGCACATCACTCCATTTTCCATGTGTTCCTTGCCCCTCATGTGATCTTGTCATGTGCTACCCTTGTATGTGTGTCATGTTCTGATTGGTTCCATGGTTGTATGTGTCTTGTTCTCATTGGTTGGTTTTGTCATGTGTTCTCCTGGTCTAGTATAAGAGATGCTCACACTCAATATCTATATATATATATATATATATATATATATATATATATATATATATATATATATATATATATAAATAATAGTGATAATAACATTGTTACGATCGCCAGCTGGAGTGCCCATGAACTCCATTAGAGGGACTCTTGCCCCTGTACTCTGGACTCCATTTTCCATGTGTTCCTTGCCCCTCATGTGATCTTGTCATGTGCTACCCTTGTATGTGTGTCATGTTCTGATTGGTGATGAAAGACACTTTTTCAACTTGTAGTTAATGTTATCAGTTCATTAACTCCTAATCTCAGACACAGACAACACCTGTGTTGACCGTCCACTGACCGTCTGATGTGTATTGCACATAAATGAAATGAACTCTCTCAAACGACTAGGCCCAATCTTATTGGCTGTCTGACTCACAGCTTCCAGGAATCAAAGGTCTTTATCGCGTAGTGTAGCTTAGAACAGTGTTTCCCAACCGGGGTGCCGTCTGTCGAGAGCAGGGGTGCCGTGTAAGAAATAATTTTTAAATATTTTTAAATTGCTAAAACTTTCAAAAAAGCATCTGTTATATAATATCCATTTCTGATGTCGCCAATAATTATAGATGCACCAAAATTTCGGCTGCCGAAAATGAGTTCACCGCTCAGGTTTCACTTTCACGTGGTGTGACGCTCTGTGTATTATCCCGCTCTATGCGTGTGCGCTCCGCTCAGTCGCTCCACTCGTCTACCATTCATGCGAATCGGAACAGCAAAGTGCACTCAAAAATTGAGCCGACAGGAAACATCGATGTAGTACAGTATTGTTTCTGTTTGCAATAGCCCTACTGTGCTGTAACAAGGTGTGGTATATGGGCAACTCCGGTAACGCTGCCCTCTCATTCATTGATCTGCTAACAGCTATGTTATGCTCGCGTGTTCTGATAATAATAGCTTTCTAGGACTAAACATTATTTGGATAATTGGTAAAAAAAATTATAAAAAAATGTAATATCTTAACCCTATTGTTACACCTACCTGAAAAACTAAAACGCAATTTATTTAATTTGAAGGCCTGTCGTTATTTTTTATTTGTGCTATCATTATTAATTTCTTTATTTGTTCTTATTTTATTACTGACTGCTTACTTGTCATTTTTTATTCAGTTCAAAGTTTGAAATCAAGCTATCTCGTGCTACTGCACCAAAATTACCCCACTGTAAAATTTAAAAAACACTGAGTGAGCAAAAATGTGTGCGGTAGCTAGTTATAATGGTAATTAAATAATGTTTACTGTAGCGAATCAGCTCATGGGAAATATGAATAATTAACCATAACTAGTTA